GTATGGAAACCTTAGGTGTAATCCTGAGTCCCATCCAGAACCTTCTGAGGTGGGACATTCCCACTATAAAGGACAAGCAGACCAGCCCGGAACAGCTAGAGCAACAGAAGATACTTCTTGAAAGAAAGTTCAGCAGGAAAAATCTAAAACAAAAATAGCAGTCTCATTAGCTACTACAAGAACTAGGAAGTTGTTCGTCGGGGAGCCATCAAGACAAGCAATCAAGTCCCTTTAGACCAAACCCCTTCTAAGACTGAAACTCAAAGGCATGAGCAGGCATGTAAGCTTGCTAGCGACCACGTTGGTCTACTGGTGAATGGGGAAAGGCAGCAATGAAGAAATGGACTGAGTTTGACCACGTTTCATAGACTCCTGGTGGCCTGTAGATGAAAGAGAGAAGAGGAAGGGCTGGTTGGTCCGAAATGTGATGATACCTGGGGACTCCTAAGCCCATAGACAAGGACATAGCCATGGAGGGCTAGAGCTGAGAGTGAAGCATCCAGCTGATAGGAAGTGAGGGAAAATGCACAAGAATGCCCAAACTTGCAGATAGTACCCATTTGACCTAGCCTAGATGACTTGATGATCAGAACTTGACTAGAATAGGATAAAAAAGGAAACGAGTGTAAATTGCTACAATTTGATGAACTTAATCTATATTTTTGAATGTAGTAGCTCAAAATACCAACAGAGAGGGAAGCAGTCTTCACATCAAGTATCAATGCTATCCCTTCTGTATACAGGATAGGGGCAGGCAATTTAGATATTGGCTACCTAAATTGAAGGGGCGATAAAGGCATGAAGTGACTGGCTGACAAGTTTTCAAGAGGGAGTTTAGTGTAAGAGTGTGCGGGGTAATGTAGAGTCCCCACTGGATAGTTTTCATCTTGTCTAGACAAGTCTAGCGAAAAGAGATGGGGATAAGATTCTTATGATTCAATTATGAGTAATTGTTACCATGACTAATTGTGACTGTCATAACTGTAAAGGTAGATGTTTTGTAACAAAAGGGGGAGAGTAGTTAATCTACAGTCCAGGAACAGAGGACCCTAGGACCATCAAGGGAGAAGAGCACAAGCAGAATGTGAGACCCTATCCTAGAAGTAGCAACTCCAGAGATGGAGGCAGAGATGAGGACATGGGAAAAGGGAGCAGATGGGATTTGAAACTCATGGAAAGAGAAAGATTGAGTGCTGGTGGCCAGGAGGCAGGTTTACAGAATATGCCCTTTGGCTGTTTAAATTGACATATATTCCTGAGTGTTTTTGTGTACATCCCCCACCAAAAATCAAAAACAAAGCAGAGGGAATAGAAGCAAATATTGTTGAATGGTGATGTACAGAAGAGATTGTATGTAATCACTGCAATGAAATGATGAGTGTAAAACTGATGTTCTCCCATGTAAACTATCACTCAATTCACACACAAAAACTTAAATAAATAAAAAAATTATTGCTACAAAATTCTAGAAACATTTATTATATAAAAATATCAAAATATGAAACTATTGTTTCTCAACATATCCTCTCTATCTAGATCTATAAATTTCTGAAGAAATTTCAGAGACTCCTTGCTTTTACTGATGATAATCACCAAGGCCATTTTTCCAACTACCGATTCTTCTTTATTTCCAACTTCTGCATTTGTAATGCAGTGATCAACTTCATATATTTCTTCTAACTATAATCTTTATGACTCCACCAAGCTATTTTTCCTGATGAGTTGGGGTAAGAGAAGGTGGGAAAAGATGGTGATAGATTATGTGATTCAGTTATGAGTGCTTTCTAACAGAGTTAATTGAGAAAACTTGGAACTCTAACATGTGTATTAAATGAATCATCTCAGAAGCAGGAGTGGGGATCTCGCTACCATTACAGATGAAAGGCCAAGAGTTGGAGTGTGTTCTTTGGATTTTATTTTTTGATGGTCTTGATATCTACTGTTCTTGCTTCTGAGATTCCTCCTTTTAAATTAAGCATGTTGGCAAAGCTAACCAGTCCTTGTTGTAGAGTACCATACACTATTTGATACCACTTAATCATTTGGTAGGAGTTACAAAGCCCATGACTAGAAGAGACATATTAAACACATTCAGGGTGCATCAAAAAGAGAATAGAACGTTGGTATGCTGTGTGGTTTAAAACTATGTTGGGGTTGTATCCTTTCACCATACTTATTCAATGTGTGGAGTCCTGGTGTGGCCCCTTAGGATAAGCACTTGACCTCAAGGTCAGTTTGAACTACAAGGTCAGTGGTTCAAACTCACCAGCCTGCTGCTCGGAAACCCTATACTGGGTTGCTATGAGTTGGAACTTGACACTTAACAACATTCAGTTGTATGCTAATTTTTGTGAGGTATACACAAAATTTACCTAGAAGTCCTTCCATCTTCCCAGTCCTATGCAACATTTTATGTTTATCTTGGTGCTGTTTTTCATTGAAGAGTTTCCAGAGTTCTCATCAGATTCCTTAACTGCATCTTTAGAGACTTTGACCAATCATGTATATTTGATTTAATTTCCAAAATAATTTTAAATTAGATTAAAAATTTTTAATTTTTAAGGTGATACATGTTTTGGTGCTGTGGGTTAATATGCTGGACAGCAAGGTCAGTTTGAACTGCAAGGTTGGCAGTTCAAGCTCACCAGAAACCCTATATAGGGTCACCATGAGTAGGAACCAACTTGATGGCACTTAACAATAACAACAAAAATGTTGACACATCAGAGCAAAAGAGATGAAAGTTTAAGGCTAAATAAAATACAGAAACTACCAAACAACTTCATTAATAACACATGGTAGCAATATTCATCAGCTACATGCTCAAATTTCTGATATAAGTAATTCTCAAA